AAATACCGTGAGTGACTTGTCAGCATGTGTCCATCCGGAATGTCGGAGAATAAAGCTGAGCTCACGCGAAATTGTCGTACAATTCACTCTCGAAGATACGGTTAAGAGCTTCACTGCTGATCTTAAAGAAACCGGACCAGATCATCCACAAACAGTAACAAAACAAGAGCTGACTCCGAAGTCGGGACGATCAAATGCTGACTCTATTCCGCTGGGGCGAGGTCCTGCGTCACGGCCTTTTCCTTTACCTTTGCCCTGGCCGGAATGTCGGCCTTCGGCATTGCGCGATTCGTCTCTCTTGCCTTTTCCGCCGGAATGTCGGCGTTCGGCACCCTTGCTGGGAGAGCGACGGGATGATGAGCCGCGGGCTGCGGCTTCTTGCTGCAGATCATCCATCTGCGTCACAACAACGTGCTTCCCGTGCGTCACCGTGCGCAAGCGATAGCCTTGAAACTCAAAAGGCTCCTGACGAACTCCCTCGCGACGAACGGTCTCGATTGATGGCATTTCGCGAGAAGGAGATCGTTTTCCTCGGCCTTTGCCTTTCGGTTGGCCACGGCCGGAATAATATCGGTCAGTGTCCCTATCAGTATCTGGTGAGACACTGATACAGTACGTGCCACATCGACATAACGTCGAGCGGCATGGGCAAAAGTGGCGTCGTCCGGTGGCACCGGAGGCGACTCGTTCTGACGCGATTGGCTCACGCTGCGTCTGGACCGTAATACCGGTCGCGCAGGAGGTGGCTGGCTCGGTGATCGAGGCCGCGACTTGGCGGCTGGCGTCTCGGAAGCAGCTGCTGGAGTCTTGCGGCCCATGTTGATCAGAGAGACTAAATACGCTCGATCTTGTCTTCGTCCGTAGTAGTGCGCTTGAACCAAAAATGCAGTCGCAGACACAAATTTTCTTGAGACAAACATTCACAAGAAAATAATCATGCAGCATACATGAGCGAATACACAGGTTATTAAATTAATGACCCACTCAGCTATGAAAGCCTTGTGTTTCACAAGTGTACGGAAAGGTGGGTGTACATCAACCTGTCCGAGTGTTCCTGTCTCTATGCTTCTTACAAGTTCGTCTGGTTTAGCAGTGTGTTTCGTTAACGGATCAGCGAGACAGAATTCGCTCGCGACATGACTTAAGTCGTCGATGTTGCCAGTGTTGCTCTCGTGTCTGAGCATCTGAATGAGGTGATGTGTTTCTTTTTGCTCTGGGAGATGTGTGGTTTGTGCAGTGGTGACGAGGTTGTTTGCAACAGTTCGTAGGTGAATGGGAAGAACCTGACCACTGACATCGGCCCACAGAGCACGGAGGAAAAGACAAGTACCAAAACACTTCATCGATCATCAAAGCTTGAAGTTCGGCGACGGTGGTAGACTGAGTAGCAGTCGTTATTTTACGACTCTCATAGTCTGTGATAGATCATCCCCACCCCTAAGGGGGGGGGGACCTGTCTAAATGTAAGCTACATGTTTTCCAACTTTGGGCTTGAAAAATGTAAGTTACATTTTCTTAGGGACACCTTAAAAATGTAAGTTACGTTTTTTGAATAAATGTAAGCTACATGTTTGGAGGTTCCGTTTTCTTGACGCCTTTCTGTGTTCTACCGTTTTCCTCTAGACCTTCTTCCTTTTCTTCCTGCTATTTTTTTAAGACTTCCAAGCCAGTGACAGAAGCATGTAAAGTATGTCTTTGTGGCTTCGTTATTGTTTTGGTATGATTTGCAGTTTTTCCTCAAGCCTTTAGGCAACTCCAGAGCTTTTTGACCGCCTCCATCCCTCGGAAAAGGAAAGCCATACCAACATCATATCAAAACTATACCAAAATCATAACAAAACCAAAAGCGTTACACGTTTCTTATAGTTTTCTTATGACCCAGCAACCCTGGCCATCTCCCACCTCCACAGCCCAACCTAGTTTCAAGCCTTTGGGCCATTCCAAAGCCTTTTGACCGTTTGGTAGCCTTTCCAGGTGGCTTTCAATTTTCCATATTGATTGTTTTCCCCATATGCATCTGTAGTTCTGTAGATATTTGTAGATTCCATATGTTGCCTTTCAATGTCTAGTTGCATACCGCCGGTTTACACCCTCCAAAAATGTAGCTTACATTTTTGGAGGTTCCGCTTCCCTAACGCCACGCCTTTCTGTGGTTTCATTGTTTTCTTCTAGACCTTTCTTCCTTCTCTTCCCGTTCTTTTCTGTTCTTTCCTTCTTCTTAGATACCAGTGGGCCCTAGGGCCACTACCCGCTTCCTGACAAAGCCGCTCATGAGAATCTGCTGCTGCATTCTACTGCTGGGTTTTTTCTTCTATTTATAATTTCCTCCCCTCTCCTGTCTCAGTTGCCATTCGACTGTAGTCCTTGCATGGACACTTTCTTGGCTGCTTTTCCCGGATGCATCTTTAGTT